CCCCCGGCCTGGCGGAAGATCTGGGGACCAGCGACTGGCCCCAGGTAAATAAACCTTGCCGAACTCTGATTTAAAGCTAGTCTGTGCACTGTTGTATCATTGACTTTATTATAGAATCAAGAAAACACACACTTTAATTGTAATATCAAGTATTGTCATCACTTCATTACTGGCATGACTGAAAAGGGAATATTTAACAAAAAAAATCTATTATGATAGAAATGGGCAAAAAAGAGTAGAGGGGATATTTTAAAAGCTTCCTACAGAATGAGTTTCTATAGGCATAAAAGTCTGCTGCTGTGGTATTTTAATGCCTTTGTCTGAGATCTAGGCAATCACGAAAGCTTCAGACCCATAAACAGAACCTTACCTTTGTCATCTTTACAATCTCTGCATCAGGTAGGTTAGTGTTAAATGTCACATCTTTTATGTAAGTTATTGCAATCTCATCCCCATCCATCTCCATATACATTTTCCATTTGCAGTCCTAATGTTGAAAAGAGAATACAAAATGTAAAAATTGGAAACAACAATACACTTCTCCCTGCAGGTGAAAACCCGTTATGCCTTGATAGTTTTATTTATTTTACGAATAAAACTGTAGAAAATCAAATTTATTTGAATGTGAAGTTATTACTAATATTTACCAGCATCAGTAGTTTTTAAACTAGTCTGGGGGCCACCAGGCTTACTTGGTGGTTCCCAAACCTGGAGTAATAAGAAAAGGTGGAAAAGGCAACACAAGATAAAGATAATGTTTACAACAAAAGCTAAAAAGCAGTTTCCATCTTCAGGAGCACAAGTGGCTTCAGTGGAATCTTTAAAGAAATGCCCGATTTCTATGCATGTTTCTTCACTACCTCACAGTCACAAAAGCCAAATCAGTATTAGTACCAGTTTTTAATTATTACAGTCCATAGACCCATCAGTACAAATAGAAATTGTACAGTAATAGGTAGGATACCATTTAACACTCCATAATCACAGTAAAATTGACATACTGCCTTGAATCCCATTTTGGGAGAAAGGTGAGATATAAATCCAATAAATAAATAAATCTCAATAAAAACTTTTTAGATACTCTGGCCAATTGTAGGGATTTCCTTCCCTCTAATTTGAG